CCCCATGCCCCCGGCCCGGCCCCGCGACCCCGGCCCGGCCCCGCACCGGCCCCAGCCCCGCACCGCCGACCCCAGCCAAAGAGGCCCCGGCCGAGCCCTCCCTCCCTCCCGATTTTCCCGGACATGCCCGGCTTTTGGGGATTTCCCCCCGGACGGGGATTTGAGCCCCCAAAAGCCGGACATGTCCGGGAAAATCTGGACGTATGGTAACCCTAACGTTGGGGAGCCCCCTGAGGCAGGGGCAGTGGTTGTGCCCAGGGGGACCTGCATCGCTCCTGCCCCAGGAGATCTTTAAAGATGTCGCTGGGTGCGCTGTGTTTGAACCACGTATTTGAATGCCAAATTCAAACTGACGTTACCCAGAGCCGTTGCGCCAGCTTCTCGGGGTTACGCTGGAGCTGGGCTCGCCGGACACTTGCCTCCAGTGTTGGCTGTGCTGGACGGCAGTGCCCACGGTCGTGTGTCTGACGTGTTGATAACCGACTCTGCATCGCGGCACGCGGCAGCTCCCCCATGGAGGGGGGTGTCATGGCCCTGCCCTTCGTTGAGCGGGGGTGCCACGGTTCTGACCCCCGTGGAGGCATAGTATGTGACCTGGCTTTCATTTCAGAGTGGCCTGACTCCTCTGCACCTGGTAGCCCAAGAGGGGCATGTGCCAGTCGCGGATGTTCTGATCAGACATGGCGTCACGGTGGATGCAGCAACCCGGGTAAAGAGGCAGGCACAGGCTCTCAATGCAGACGTCAGGGCCTTAGCCCCCCGCCCTCTCAGCCCTGCTCTCTAGCTCCCTGTTCCTGAAAGCCAGCAGCAGAAGGCATTTCTCCTTCTCACACTGTCTCCTCGGCTTACCACTCAGGGCCCCTGCCCCACTGCTCCCCTCCTGCCCCAAAGGCCACGCTGATAGGAGGGGGCTCCTGGCACAGCCAGGGGGCGGGGTGCTTGGGCACTCTGCAATGGCTCTGAGCTCTTGGCATGGCGCTGCCAGGGCAGAAGGTTGGTGCCAGGAGTGGCTCCAATCTGATGTGCCTGCTGCCCTGTGAGACCCCCCAGCCCCATGTGGATGGTGCACCCTGAGTCGGGGTGGGAGGGGCGGGTTGTCATGCGATGGCTGTGTGAGACCGGGTCCCTGGTCTGCCTTTCAGATGGGCTACACCCCGCTGCACGTGGCCAGCCATTACGGGAACATCAAGCTGGTGAAATTTTTGCTGCAGCACCAGGCAGATGTCAATGCAAAGACCAAGGTACAGAGAGCCCCCTAACCTTCTCTCCGCCCACCTGCCACGCCTGCCTGCAGTGGGCAGCCATGCCCGCCACCTCTCTGCTCTGGGGGATGCCCCCACAGGCTGTGGGAGGAGGCAGGGCACCTGCGTTTGGCTCCATCTCATGCCTTGGCCTGGTGGCTGCTGCTTTTAGGGGTCAGGTGGTGGCTGGGCCCAGCACAGAGTATGGCTGACTGAGCCTTCCTGGAATCCCAGTGCCAGGAGCGGGCTCTGCCGGGCACCTCCCCACAGCCCAGCTGCTTTGAGCTGTTTCTGTGTTTCTGGCTGGGAGGGGCAGCGTGGGAGAGGGTAGAGCAGCCTGGGACCATCCAGCGTGTCTGGGAGAAGGGGCCCAGCCCCCGAGCCTCTCTGATCCTGGGCACCTGGAGAGGTGGAGAAATCCCTCTCCCTCTGGGTCATTGGCTGCTGGGTGTCGTGTCCTGGGGGTTGCATTTGCCGTTGTCTTTTGAGATGCTCCATTGATCTGGGGTTAGCCTCAGCCGGTCCTTTCGAATGATCCATTCAAGCTTCAGGCCAGGAGGTGACATTCCCGCCTGTGTCTCTTGTCTTGCCCTAAGAGCAAACAGTCCCCCCACCGGGTAACAGAGGTAGCTTATAGGGGAGGCACACTTAGGGATCATAAAAACATTACAACCTGTCGCTTTGTCACAGCTCTCTGCCTCCCTTTGCAGCTAGGGTACACCCCTCTGCATCAGGCCGCGCAGCAGGGTCACACGGATATTGTCACGCTGCTGCTGAAGCACAGGGCCTCCCCCAACGAGGTCAGCACGGTAAGTACTCCCGGTTCCCGGCACCGCGGGTGACACCAGCCCCGAGGCTGCTCTCTGAGATGTGCCACTCACACTCGCCCAGCCCCGTGGCTCACGCCTCCCCTTGCTCCCATGTGCTCTTACATGCATCCTCTCGCTTGCCCCCTCCACTGCCCTTCGCACTCCCACTCTCTGGGATCCTGCCCCCAGACCCAGCTAATCCTGCCCCCTCTCTTCATGTGCAGAATGGCACCACGCCCCTGGCCATCGCTAAGCGCCTCGGCTACATCTCTGTCACGGACGTGCTAAAATTAGTTACAGAAGAAACCAGCATCCCGGTGAGTCCCTGCCCCTCCCTCGCAGCCCTGGGCGCTCCCTGCACACGCTCTGGGATGATCCCTGGGCCTGGCCTTGGGGAGAGGATCCCATGGGGGGCTGGCTCAGCCAGTGCTGCCCACAGCAGCCCGGGCTGGCGAGGCTCCTGCTGCCCAGTTGTGGTGTCAGCTTCTGCCTTGGTTTGGGCCATCGGTGGAGAGGTTTGAACCCAGAACTTCTGAGCCTCTAGGGCGAGCTAAAGGCCCAGCTCCATTCGCTCCAGGCTGGCCCAGCGAGCCGCACTGGGTGAGCTGGGTGTGCCCGTGTGATGAACTGGGACTGTTCTTACTGTGGTCTGTGAATGCTGACAGGGGAGTGTGGCTAGGATAGTCTGCATTGGGGGATGGGAGACTGCCCGAAGGAAAATACCTGAGCATGTAACATGAGAACCCAGGAAGGGGTTGGAGGCCAGGTGACACCTTGGCCCGGGAAACTGAACAAAGGCTGTGGGAGGGGTCGCTGAAGGCAGAGTGTTGGAAGCTGGCTGGTGAGATGGCTGGGAGGCAGAGATGGCTCTGACCTCCCAAGGGGGGCTGGGATGCCCTGGGACCCCAAAATGGACCTAACTGAGGGGGGTCCTGTTGTCTGTGCCTGCAAGACCTGTCTTGGACTGTATTCCTGTCATCTAAATAAACCTTCTGCTTTACTGGCTGGCTGAGAGTCATGGTGAATCGCAGGAAGCCGGGGGTGCAGGGCCCTGAGTTCCCCCACACTCCGTGACAGCCCGGCTGAGGCTCTGGGACCAGCCCAGATCTGACTCCCTCTTCTTCTCACAGTTGGTCAGTGACAAGCACCGCATGAGCTTCCCTGAGACAGTGGATGAGATCCTGGATGTGTCCGAGGACGAAGGTGAGGGCAGGAAAGCAAAGCTCCAGCAGGCCAGGGAGCCCCCCGGGCTGGGGGCTCTGCCAGGCACAGTGTCTCTGGAGGACAGATAGGAGATGTGCCAGGCAGAGTCTTGGCAGTGGAAGTAGGGGGAGCTCTGATGAGAGGGGTCTCCCTGAGGGGTACAGGGGGAGCTCTGATGGGCAGGGTCTCCCTGGGAGGGTGAAGAGGGGAGCTGTGCCGGGTGGGGTCTCCCTGGGATCAAGGGGGGAGCCATGCCGGGCGGGGTCTCTCGGGGACCTGTCACATCAGAGATTTGCACACCAAGGAGAGACACTCCAGAGCCCTGTAGCCCCTGCCTAGGCGCTCTCGCCATGGGTGCATGGCTGAGGCTGCCCAGGGAGGGTGGGCGCTGGCAGCACACACCGCTGCCCCCCGTTAGGCTGCGCCGTCAGGGGTCCCATGTGTAGCACGTTCCCTGCTGCGGCGAGCCCTGGTGAGCTGCCCCACGAGCGTGGCAGGGGCCCTGCCTGGTATCCGCAGAGCAGTGAGAGTCACATGTGGCTCACGTGCCTCTCCCGCCTGCTACTCAACTCTGACTCTTCTTGCTTTGCAGGCTCTGCTCAGGTCACTGTCATGGGTATGGACTGTGTGTGTCACTGTGGCCCCACTTCACCGCCCCATTTCACCCACACGCGCTCACTGACCCATCCCACTCCGTGGGGCTTCCCATCGGCCCTGGAGCCAGCCTGGGCCCTAACACCATTGCGCCCTGCCCATCTGTGTCTGTGCCCATGCTGCCGTCCTTGTGCTGATTGCATGAATGGGCATTGTCGCCGCCTGCCCACCCCCCACTCCCAGTGGCTCCCAGGCCAGCCGGGGCAGGCAAAGTCCCGGGCAAGGGGCGCTTGCTGGAGGAAGGGAGAAGCACCTGAGCCTGGGTTGTGTGGGAGATGGGCGCCCAGGTTTGGCCAGCAGGGACTGCCCACTGCAGGGCTCCTGATTTCATCTGGGCACCTGGGTGCCGAGATGTCCCTGGGCTGCCGTGTCCAGGCCCCTCCTGCCCCAGGGGTTCTGGCCTCTCCAACACCAGCACGCTGGGTTTTGTTCCCGGGGGAATCCCGTCAGAGAGAGCCCCCTGCCCCAAGTGTAAATTGGGCTGGTGAGCGGGGAGCATGGGTCTCTCCCGTCCGAGGCACCACGCCCTTGGCAGGGTGCCTGGAGGCAGACCAGGCAGGAGAGCACCCATCAGCAGGAAGGGTAAGGATCTGCTGGGAAAGGGGCCGGCGGCTCCCTGGGCAGCTCTGACATCAACCACAGCTCATGTCATGCTAACCTGCAGCATGGGCCTCGCGCCCAACGACAAGGCAGCCTAGCTGGCAGACAGTGTCCCCTGGAGCCAGGCTGGCCAAAAGCAGCGCAGCGACATGGGGGGTGTTGCTGGCTGACACCAGGAGCCAAGGAACAAGCCCTGGCTTGGGGGTGGAGACGCCAGCCCATGTGGAGCTGGGCACAACCAACTTAGCTCTGCGCCAGCCCAGGCCAGGGGCGGGGAGAGGCCCTGACGTCTGGCCCTCTGCGTTCTGCACCCATGGGCTGAGCTGTGTCTTGGTTCCAGGGGAGGAGCTGGCTGACCCCAGGCCTGAGAAGCAGGATTCCAGGGAGCAGGATGAGGAGAAGGAGATGGAGTTTGTCCCCAAGCTGGATCAAGTGTAAGAAGCACTGCACAGCGGTGTGGGGGCAGTGATGGCACAGTGGGGCAGGCACTGTGGGGCAGAGGTGGCGTGCTGCTGGGAGGGTGCTCTAGGGCGGAGCAGGCATGGCAGGGCAGGCAGGTGCTATGGGGTGGCTGTGACATGGTGAGGCAGGTGTGGTGCTGTGGGGGTAGAGGTGGCGTGGTGGGGCAAGCATGGGGCTGTGGGACAAGCGCTGTGGGGCAGAGGTGGCATGTTGCTGGGGTGGTGCTCTAGGGCAGAGCTGGCATGGCAGGGCAGGCAGGTGCTGTGGGGTGGCCGTGACATGGTGGGGCAAGTGTGGTGCTGTGGGGCAGAGGTGGTGTGGTGGGGCTGTGGGGCAGAGGTGGCATGGTGGGGCAAGTGGGGGGATTCAGCTTGCAAGGCCCTTTCCAGCCTGAGCTTTACCTCCCTGCTGCTGTCCCCAGGGTAATGGAGACATCCCTTCCCCCCAAGCCAGTGGCTCACGCGGGGATGCTGGGAGCATGGAGACTGCCCCCTGCCCAACCAGGCTCAGCACAGGGCCCGCTCCCCAGAGACACGGTGGGGTGAGGCCAACGCCGGGGAGTGCAGGTCACTCATGGCCTGGTCCTTTGCAAGAGTCGGTGCTCGTGGGCCTGGGAGCTGTGCAGAGCCCTCTCTCAGGGACACCCCAGGCCCGGTGGCTGCTCTGGGGCCTGGGGCACACAGGGAAATCGTATCACACGAGGCTGCTTGTGACCGTATCCCTTGTCACCTGCCCAGGATGGAGTCTCCAGCCATCCCGCGGATCCCCTGCGTCACACCTGAGACCATGGTGGTCAGACGGGAGGAGTCTGAGCAGGTGGGTTCTGCCCCACCCAGGGCCAGGGAGTGTGGCTGGCTGCACTGCAG